TTCACCTGAGTAATACAAACCACAACAGGTAGGGAGTATAGAACCACACACCTCAGATCTTCACCTGGGTAACACAAACCACAACAGGTAGGGAGTATAGAACCACACACCTCAGATCTTCACCTGAGTAACACAAACCACAACAGGTAGGGAGTATAGAACCACACACCTCAGATCTTCACCTGAGTAACACAAACCACAACAGGTAGGGAGTATAGAACTACACACCTCAGATCTTCACCTGAGTAACACAAACCACAACAGGTAGGGAGTATAGAACCACACACCTCAGATCTTCACCTGAGTAACACAGACCACAACAGTTAGGAGTATAGAACCACACACCTGACATCTTCACCTGAGTAACACAAACCACAACAGGTAGGGAGTATAGAACCACACACCTCAGATCTTCACCTGGGTAACACAAACCACAACAGGTAGGGAGTATAGAACCACACACCTCAAATCTTCACCTGGGTAACACAAACCACAACAGGTAGGGTGTATAGAACCACACACCTGACATCTTCACCTGGGTAACACAAACCACAACAGGTAGGGAGTATAGAACTTCACACCTGACATCTTCACCTGAGTAACACAAACCACAACAGTTAGGGAGTATAGAACCACACACCTGACATCTTCACCTGAGTAACACAAACCACAACAGGTAGGGAGTATAGAACCACACACCTCAGATCTTCTCATGAATTTCAGTGATCCAGTTGTCTACAAACTAAGCTATTTAAGATGAATAAATGTAACATTCGCAATCATATCTGTTACAATCGTGATAAATACATTTTTACAAGGACTAAAGGTTCCTTATTTTCCTTTCATATAAAATCAATGATGAGAACTTTTAAAGAACCATGTTATCTTGTCAATGTCTAGTTGTTAACGTTGTTAATGGAAATAATTTGACCATAATCAAATTAATTCCTCAATATAATTCTACTTGAAATTATCAGAGTTATGGGACTTTAGTGGCCTTTGGGCTTTTAATCCGACATAAAATAATGACAGGTCCACAGAAACCCTTGGGGACTGATTATTATCAGATGTTGTTAGTCTGAAACAGTAGGAGCCCTTTACAATAGAAATGGATTCATCAATACCTTAGATTGGATATCTCAGACATTTATATCGAGTTTCAGCCATTAGTGAAATATTTTATTTCATCAGGGGAGACCATCTGCTGGGTTGTTACAGACTGACCACTCTGATAACAGATTTAGGCCTCATCTGAAAAGTTTTCACTGATTATCATTACAAAATATGGAACATGAAAATGTCAACATTCCAGATAATTTAACTTCATTCAAGATTTTGAAAGAAAAATGTGTTTACTGTGTAATTTTCACACAAAAACTAAACCATTTCAGGATGTGTGCTTTTAATTAAACAGATATAAATATGCAGAGATTTTCAAGTGACTTTTTAGCTGTAACTATGAAAACCTCAACAGAAGTCAATAATTTCTTATAAAGATTGAGTGCTAAGTGAAGATAACACCAAAATTCGTGTAATTATTTTTCATTGTATGGCCCACATAAGGCCAAAGCTGTCGTGTTTACATCCACGATAAACAACATCATGAAAGATATATTGAGGTACAAAGGTAAATCTGTGATAACTAAATATTTTGTCGGGCGAACAAACATTCCGCACCATGTTAAACTGACACTGAGATTTTCAGGTTGATCACACAAACAAAGAGCATCACTATGTTCCATTTCTCGTTAACACACCTGTCCCGGACCATTCAGCAGGTGGTCTGACAGACAGGTTACAGAATATAATTACCCATGACCCACACGTCCATTACCTGTCTATGTAGGTAATTTAATATAATTGGCTACTTATAATCTGATATGAAAAATCTCTTTGTTTACATTTGAAGATGCAGATAGTGTGCATTTCATGTTAATTCTCCTTCAACCTAACCAAACCCATTTTTATACAAATTGGTATTGTGATGTAACAAGTATTTTTAAATATTGTATAAAGTGATACCTGTATTTGGTTTGGGTCCAAAATTAGTATTAAAGAGAGAAGTATTGATTTTTAAAAAAAAATATATTGACATAATGAAATGACAGAAGAGGCACTATTTGAACATTATAACCCTAAAATAGAATATTGCGGACAAAAATAGGTTAGATTCTATTAGTATGCTAAAGAGATGGACACAACTCTCTCAACCTCCAGCAAGGAAATCATTAATTGTTCTATATATATCAATGAACCTTTGTTCTGTTAAAACCCAAGGATGCCTCGATAGGATTTTCCAGACAAATGGCATCAGCTGTTTTAGATCAATAAGGAGGAAACTTATTGTTTACCAAGTATTTTGGCTAAAGTACATTCTGATTAAAAAGGGCGTTCAACTTGTACAGTTCTTGAACCCAGATAAGGAATTTTCTGGAATAAAATATTATTTCTCTCTGACATATATAATTGACATTAAACATTAGACACTGAAAATTAAACATCTTAAACAAAGAAAAGGGCAATATTAAGAGTTCAATATTTGATCAAGACTTCACAATATTTTTGTATAGGTTTTTGTTGTCATATTAGCTTTAAAAGTCCAAACTTCAACAAAAAAAATATAAACACACTTACTTGTATGTTTTTATCTCTTTGAGAATCACTTTTTAATCATCAAAATAATACGACTTTTATTGAAATTCTTTTCCTTTTGAATATTTGAAGAAATATCTGTCATTGATTTCAAAATAAAAACTAACAGTACTTTGAACCTAAGACAAGCCCTTTAAAAAGATATGAAAGTATTTTGTTCTTTGTTCAACAGTCATCAAGGGTTATATATTGAACTGGTAAGACCAAAGGTCTATATTTTTTATTGATTCTTTTTGTAAAATCACTGGCTAAATAGAAAATTGTTTTATTTAACCAGATTACAAACTTCCGGAGAACTTGTCCCTTCAGGGTTGATAGTGGGTGGGTGACCACTTTGATCTCTTTAGATGTTAATCTTCACAAGGCAGATAAATCATACCACCAGTCCATTACTACAGACAAACCGTTGAATCCACCCATATGTTTTAATGATTATCAAAAAAACTTCCTCAACAGCTTTTCAAATGAATATATTAGTTCTAAAACCAGTTTTGGAGATTTCCACTTGAAGAACTTGGTCAGTGCTCTGAGATATATCACTGGACATGACTAAAAAGCAGTCAGACAACTTATATGGCCAACTGGAGCTGAAGTGGTCACAGAATGACCATGCTGAGAGTGGCTAGACAACTCATGTACTATCTCTATTTACATCTGTGCTTTATAGAGATCAAAGTCAGAAGCCTGCAAGGGTATATCTGGCCTGCTCACTGACCAAACCTTGTTTTACATCATCAAATAATCTATTTACCCCCCTCTGGTCAGTTATGGCCATTATATTGATATATTACAAGACATTCTTCAATTTCCGTCATTTTTCTAGTTACTTACATGTATATGTCTCATTCATAAATTGTTTATTGGTTCAAAATTCAAATAGTTTCAACAGAATATGAAGGTGTCAGTAAAAACAGGTCTACAACCACACTTGAGAATTTTTCTGATGCTTGAAGCAATGACTGAATTAAGCGATGGGAAATTCCAAAAAGTCATTGTATACAAGTTGGTAACACTTTTTCACTATTAGAGATGGTTTTTGATCAGATTTGACAGGTATCCACCACCATCAAACCATGACAGAATATTAACAAATACCTTACATCATTTCTTTTATTATCCACCACCAGCTGTTTCAACCATTAACATCCTGATAACTGTCAGTTTCCTTTCAAAATTTTCCTACTGATTTTTCTGACAAAGACTAAATACCTAACGTTGAGTCAAGATTGGTCCAGCACCATGCCTGATTTCAACTACCTCACACAGCCAAACATAACATGTACAGTTGTGTACTTTTGTAATATTTTGCAGTTTATGGTTGTCCTAGTTCAGGCATTAATAGAGATTAAATTTTGCATAAGTCTGTACATTGGTATCCATGGAAACAGGTATATAAAATGTAGATTTCCTTATATTTTGAATAATGTTGGATTTGTACTAATTTCTGGCTATTCTGTATTATTGTGAATTAAGTGAAATCAAAATCCCCATCAATATTACAAACAACACAGTATATAGAAGAAGGGACTTTGAACACCCTTAAATCCCAATAAGCATGCCAGTTATACCTATATAGATTTATCTCCTTATCTCCTATAATCCACTTTTGTCAAAAACTGACTGGAAAATAACAACAGAGATTATTATAGGTGTTTTCAACAATCACCCAGGCAATCAGAAATTCTGACAGAAGTCAAGTACTGGTGATAAATGATCAGGATCCCTGTCTTAACGAGATAACAGAAAACACAGGTGTCAGATAGGAGAGAGTTTTTCACTTGTCACATACACACTCCTGAAGTTCAATCATCTATCTATGGATGAAATCAAACAAATAGTTTTTTACCTGTTTGTGGCGACCCCGGGGGTCAGGATAGGTACGAGATATTCCTGACACCATGCTTCCCTATTGTATACCTTTCACAATGACAGAATCCTAATCAATTACCCATATTGACACAGTCTCCAGGCTCATGTTCTAATACAGAATGATCTACTGACACAGCCTTCTAGAACGTAAAGCAAGCAAGTAAAACCGCAATAAAAAATCATTGAAATCTAAATTCTTGTTTTACCTCCTTTCAGGAATTTAAAGAATTTTGCATGTGGACTGACATACACACAGAGAGAAAAAATGTCAGTTTTTTTTCTCTTTATTGCAGTATTTGGTATCTGAAGAAAATAGGCCAATCAAAGTGATAACTGTACTACAGGAATCAAATCATCTCTAAAATGGAGGAAATGAAATCTCTTTTTCATGCTCTTTCAATCGAAGAAAGTTTAAAGATTTGAATTTTTCACGCGTCCAAAGCGATTATCGGTTATATAAAACAACACATAAAGTGGGATCGTATTTTAGTTTCTGTATTTGTCATAACAATACATAGAGAGGACATATACATACAAATATGACAATGGAGAAGAACACATTTTGTAGAATAAAGCGATTAGATGAAAGCACAAGAGTCACACAAATTTGTTTTAATGTTTCAATGAGATTATCAACAATTTGAATATCAATTGTGTGAATGTCTTGATCTCACAAAATTGTGGTAATTATAATTACTTAATTCCTAGAAATAATTTTTTGCCTTATTTTCTAATATTTTTCTCATTTCCTCTAATTCGTAAGCTGCTTAGACCCATAAATAAAGTGTCATTTATCTGCTGAGGCAATCTTCAATAAATAGTAAAACACTACCGAGCAACTTTAAGGCACACACTTATCCGATAAAATTATTAATTTCAGAATGTTTAATTAGCGTTCTCAATTACTTCTACTTATCGACAACATAAAAAGTTAAATTCCTTATTTTGAAGACTAAAAGATAGAGATAACACCTGCATTTTTCCTGGATAGAGATTAATTAAGTATTCACATCTTAAAGTTGAGACATGGTAAAAATGTAAAAAAAAAAATAAAATTCAATAATGTATAAGTCATTTAAAAACTGTATCAATTTTTTCTATTTTGAAGTAGAAACATTTATATCACAAATCTGAATGGTTCATCATTATCCACCAATCAAAGCTTTCATTAGATGTATTTTCGTTGGTTTGCGATTGGCTAACTTCTCTCCAATCCACATTCAGATATCACATGCACTCCATATTTGGTCTGTACTGTTAAGTAAAGCACTAAATTCTATCCATGGCAATGACAATGGCACTTCATTAGGTTTGGTAAGTTTAAATATAAATTGTTTCCATGGAAACAAAATACATGGTCATACAGCAGATACTAAATCCATAGCCTCATCATCTTCTTCGATAACACAACACTGTCTATCCTTCGGATCGAAAGAATAATTCCCATTACTGTCTGAACTTAAATTTTTTATCACAATATCGTCATCATTAAGCATTCCTCGAAAAGAACTAAAGTTTTTGTTGTTATGGTAACTGTTCTGTCCTTTCCAAACAGGAGTATCATTCTGACAGTTGTAAGGTTTCATACTTCTCTCTGTAGAGGGAGGAGAGCACCAGGCAATTTTTGTATCATCTGAATATGGTGCAGACATTATGTCTTGTGAATGACAGTTATCTCCCCCTGATGAACCCCATCGATTCAGGCCAAGGTCCCACGGATCCTCCTCTTGTGTCTTTGCTTTCCATTGATTGTCATTATTCGACAATTGCCACTGTTGAGAATTACTTGCACAGGTTGATGATGAATTCCATTGAGAGTTATCTCCCTTGTCTTTATTGTTGTCAGACAATGTCCATGGACCTGTTAATTTCCAATCAGATTCACCCATATTTAGCTGACAAGTAAGAAAATCATCTTCCTCTGGAATAGTGTAATTATCCATTACATCTGCTTCTTCTGGTATAGAGGTCATTGAAGACGCTGAAGTCGATTGGTTACAAGATTCGTCTTCTGTTGTAGTAGAAGTTGACATATTTGAGAAACGTTTCAGTCTTAAAGAACCAGACGCACTTTCATCGTCTCCAGTGGGAGCAGACGAATCCCCTGTGGCAATGGAAGATTCCTCTAATGATCGACGTGATTCACGAAAACTATTGACACTGTCCCGCCTTGACCCAGGGAACACAGCAGAGACAGACCGCCTCTGAACAGGAAGTGAGCCTCGCAGACTGCTGTTCCGCTTGAGTGGAATTGTTCCTATATGATTCTCAAACTTACTCTCCTCTGTACGTTTCAGTAATGTTGCAACGCCACCATCCACTTTTATGTGGTGACTGTGTCTACGCACAATTTTTTGTGGTTTCGTAAATACTTTGTCTGTTTGTTGTGAACACTCACTTATGTCTCTTGTACGAACCACAGGCGATACATGACCAGGGCGACTTCGTCCATACAAATTTTCAGCCCTCACTCGAAATCGGTATTCAGTGTCAGGTGCTAGATTTTTCACATCATAGCTTGTCCCTTGGCAAGAATTTGTTACAACCTTCCAACGATGCTCAAACACATTGTACACTTCAATTTGATAAGCCAGTATTGATTTAGGTGGAAACCCTTTGGGAGCCGACCAGCTGAGCGTAAGACAATTATGAGAAATGTTCTTCACAAAAGGAACACCATCTGGTGCAGACGGCTTGCCTGAAAAACAAAGAAACATTCAATTATTATTCAGACTGTATAGAGTTTATATAAAGATCAAGATGGCACAATAAACTTCTTTCTAATAATATCGGTCCTTACGATACAATCATCAGTGAAAACAATATGATGGGGAGACTTCTATTTTTAAATGGTCAGGGTCATGTGATCAACATTCCTGTCATTGAGACTCTTGTACCGTTTTCGCAGAATCCTATTCCTATTTTTTTTCCCCCCAAAAAATTAAATTGAAAAATTAGGAGTAATTGTTTAATTCTGAAGCTTTGAACAATTGAATAGACTACCATTTTGTTTCTTCAATGTTTGAAAGAAGTATGAATTACAATGATAACTGCTTCTCCAAAATTGCATTGGGTATTTAATACAAGATAAGACTGTTACTATGGTAACTACTTAACATTGACACAAATGGTCAACACTGATTGGCCTTAAGTACAAATACTATCATCTGCTCTTTTGGTTTTATCTTTCCTTTGTCAAAAATGACAAAGTTAATTTTTGGCCAAAAATGGACTTTTAAGAGTTGATAGAAATACAAGAATCTGAAACATTCTGACACAGACAATCTACCTGAATAAACGGCACCAGCAAAGTAATCTCTCACCTAAATGATAATTCAAATTTTATTCATCGAGTTTTTTTTTTTTTTTAAGAGAGTTGAGACAAATTAACATATCAATAATGTGTGTGATGTCTGTACATTTATCATAGATCACGTTGAACAAATGGAAACTTTGTCACGGGGAATGTTAATGGTTGAAATGTTAAAAGTTCTAAAGAAACTCAATCCACCCTGAATGTTTATCATGTTACCCTATCGTGTATGTTTTTACCTATTCTGATGCATTGCAAACTATCAATGTCACGATCTACATAAATAAATAAAAATTTATGTAAAAACTTTCCAAAGGAAAAGTGTTACTCATCTATCAATATCACTCACTGACAGGTAACACTGTATTAGTTTCACATATATAATTACAAATTGTATCGTTTTCCAGTCAGCTCTCAGCATATTCTAGATCTGATTGGAAAAAAAATTTTGTTTCCTTATTTTCTACTGAAAATTCTTGATTATTTTAGTCACCAAAAAATCTCTTTTAAAAAGGTCAAGTACCTGGCATTATATTTAAAGTTTCAAAGTTTTTTCATAGAAATAAGGATCACATATTACATAGATCTGGGAAACAAATTTCCAGTGCTATGAACAGACACTTTTTTCCTATCTTTTACAAAGAAAACAAAGATGATGTTTTGTTTTATCTTGAAATTCAATTCATCAATATTTATCACAGCCGAGACAGAAATGAGAAACAATATAATTAGCTTGGCCTTAAACCTGAATTTATGCTAAAAATCAACTATTTGATATCCAACATCTGTGGTATAATAGGAAATTGGAGAGCCTCTAATCAAATTATGTAAATAAATAAGAATTCTAATTTGCTGAATTAAAACCACACTAATATTTATATAGAGAAAATATGATATCTTCTTACTCGTCCATTCTCTGTATAAATAAAAAAACATCGGGCTATACACACTAGTCCCAGCTTAGTCGTGCTATCAAACATTGATTATTGATTTGAATGACAAAAGGTGTCTTTCTAAGCTAATATTTTACCATCACAGTCAGTCAGATGTCTGGTAGAAAATGGTAGGGTTGTAAGGGGAAATAACTCTACTATATCCTAACACTACACTGTATTATTAAAACACATTCTATTTTGAACTCTTACCAATACATAGTTACCCCATTTATAGATTTAAATCAAAATTTTAAAGTTATTTTAGAATCGTTCTCTTTAAACTTAAGTAGAAATATTTCTGTTTGTCTCATCTTCATATTGTGTATTATAAACCATACCGTGCATATTTCTGATTAACTTGTGATAGAGTGTGTAAATATTTGGCAGGTAAGAATAAAGGATCTGTGCTGGTGTTATGGTTAAGTACAAGTCATTACAGGTAATTGCTTCAGATCTCACAGAAGGGCTACTTATTCACTCAAAATCTTTGATGGTTTGTTTTAAACAGAAGAACCATTTGCAGTTTTCTCTGAAGTCTTTCTGTGTGTTCATTCTTTACAAGAAAAAAGGCAGAATTCTTTGATCACTACAAAAAGAAAAAATGATTAAATGTTAAGCTATTAGCTAATTATCTCTATTTTTAATTTAAGGTGCGTTCTGACATAACAGACAAATGTACACCTGCTTGTTGTTAGCTGAGGGTCACACAAACATAGTGGTAGCTGATGCAAGGTATTATCGTCAAGACAACCAGAAATATACCCAAGCATTGCCTTATTAATGATCACCTGTATTTGAGTTTTGTAATTGCGTCTTCATTCTAGAACAATTTACATTGAATCTGTCACAAAAAATCTTCACCCCATTTTTGAGTAACTACTGTCTGTTTAAGTTGATGATCAATGAAATAAGTTCACATAAAGTTGAAGTCAATATTTTTGTTGTCAATGAATCTCATAAACAATGTCTGTCACGTATGTAGTTAACATAACAAGCATTCATCACATGCCACATCAATCATAATTGATCATTAACTGATAATTCATATTTCCACAAATAGGCTTAATGTCATATCAAAAAGTTTTCAGTCATATTCTACCACAACCAAATGTCAGATAAAATGAATTAAACTTTCTTTAAAATCTTAAATCATCCTAACTGTAATTTGAAAATTGAAATGTCAGATTTTGTTTATAAATGTTTATTTACTTATCCAAATTTTGTTTCTTTAACTTTTCATTTGTTTGTCTTTCAGAAACTAGACGTAGTTTATTACGTCATCCTATTATTCATAAGCATTGTAATAGCTTTATTGCGATAATGGGTACAAATTACCATGTTAATCATAAGTATTGGTTTTGGCAATTGTGTACACAATGAAATGTCTGTCACATTGAAATTGTTCATTAGCAATACATACCTTCCTGATAGCAGACTCCATGATACTCCAATCTCGTGCTGGCATCACCACGCTGGATAAAAACTCTCGGATCCGAAGATGACCGATCATGAATTTGAGAATTGTTGGCACCCATTGTTAAATCCTTTTAAATTATCACAAGAAACAGCGAAACTCTCATTCACAGCGTAACAGCGTATCCTAATGATTCTTGAACTAACTGATTCACAATTTAAACATTTTCAATATAAAGATCCAAAAATTCCAGTCCGAGTTTTTTTTCCTTAACGTATTTTCCCAAACTGAAAGTATTAAGTAATCCACAGCTACTGTCAACTTGGGAAGTTATCAAATTGACCGTTATTGTCCATATTGAGGCTATTTCCTGACTGAGTTGTGTACATGTGTGTGGGTCTGTCTGTACTGATAGCAAGCCCGTGTTTAGGCCTGTGTATATAGCCTCTGTTGGTAGCGCTCGTTCAACCACGACCAGCTGAGCTGCGCTCACTAAAGCTCTACAACACTATACCCACTGCAAACAGTCAAAGGAAGATGTTCTTTGTGCTACAATCATGGAAAACTTCAATAAAATGATTGAAATTCTTCATCAAATGAAAATTTGTTTAACTACACTACCGAAGAGATGGATTTTCATGCGTTCGGCATTTAGTAGTACGCGTAGTAATAAAACCAGCTCTACAGTGCTACCTGTAATCAGTCACGTCACCTTTAACAAGCTTAGTACTGTATATACAGAGGGCTTTGTCACTACACATCAGTTGTAAAATCTAATAGATATTAACATGTAGTTTCTAGATATATATCCACATTTAAAACGTCTCACATGTTTACAAAATCTATGAGTCACTGGACAGTTTGCCTTTACCCAGTAATATAGAACACGTGGAACTTCGGTGTAACATCCGGTGAATGTTCGCCCAATTAAAATTTGGAGCCATCATTCAAATGCTCACGAGACGAACCATGTGTATACATGTATCTGCCCCTGGGTAGGGGAAACATATGGGCAAAGTGACAGTTCCCTAATTGGAAAAGTTCTTTGAGGGCACTGAGAAAAAAGGCAAACAAATTACAAGTGAGGGCCATTACGTCTAAACAAGTTTTTTTGGTGTTCCAGTAAATAACATTTTAAATTTGTAATTAGCAGAGTTTGTCTCTTCAGGAAGTCGTCTCTCCCTTGTTTGTAAGACCCCAAAAAACATACTAAATCTATTTTGCTTTTCTGAATAATTCTAGACAGCCTTAAAAGTTGTAGCATCATTGAAAAAAAAAATAAAGGCTCATAAAATGTATAACTTTTTTTTCAAAAACATCCACTTGATATATTTTAAATTTCAGTCCTTCCCATTACCGGAAAAGTGTTGTTTTATCCGATTTCTGGTTCTTAATTTTACACTGAACACACGATTTATTCTAAAAACAAGGTTTATTATGTTTCCAGGAATTAAATGGGACACTGGCCTTTATTCCACTTGTACGTCACTCTTCCTTGAGAAGATGATGAAATGCAGGCCCCTCCCTGGTGTGTGTATATTTACCACAGCTGCAGTGACGAACTGTTTTGGTTAGTGATTCTACACAGTATTAACAACTCTGACATTGCCTGGTTACATATTAGCCAAATTAGCAGCTACGACGATAAACCAACAAATCCATTACTTCTGTTAGTCATGTACCTTTTAATCACAAAGAGTACCAAAACCTCGCCTGCTGGTCATAATGGGACAGACTTAACCCTTTCTGTAAATATGAAAAGAAGGACACCAGTCCTGCCCTTAAAAACCCGGTCCACACTCACCCTCTTTCAATCTGTACCAGTTCTCTATCAAGCCCAGTATTAGGTCATTACAGCTGATCAATATGGCCATTAGCTTTAGTTGAACATATTTATATAATTAATTAGCAGGTAATTAGTGTGTAATTATAATCACAGGGACCAGACGTATGTTACACTGCAAATATTCCGCAACGAGGTGGGGAAGGTTTAGGATACACATAAGGTAATTAACATACCACTACATAATAAAATGAATTCACGCCTGGTCCAGGACTAGTAATACAATACTTTGTTAGCAGGGGGTACCTAATACATGTGTAATTAGTTTGTCTCAAGTATATATGAATACCTGCCAATTTAGAGGTGTTAATTACAGATATTTCATACCCTTCATTTTGTATAACAATGTAACAAATATATATTCTATAAGGAGTTCAATTTCATATAAAAAAAACTGGCATTTTATTTAAATTCAAATCTCTTATCTGGAAAAAAGAAAAGAAATTTAATAATTATTAAGCTATTTTCCAATAGACACCTATAAACATTAGTAACAAATGAAGACAAAAATAAGGTGGAAATTTGTTTCATTTTCCTGGGCAGAACATTTAAGATGGCTGTATGAATCTGTATCATCTGATTAAACAGAAACCTGGCTAAACCTTTCTACATTTATACCATGTCAATAATGTTTGATTGAATGAGAACATTTCTTGATGGATCTATCTGTCTTAATCAGAATTGTGTCAAACTTTGAAACATGAAATTTAGTATTGATGGAAATACATTTGACATTGTATTACAGCTACATGTTAGCACCACAGGTATGTTTCTACATTAATTTTTTTCGTTAAACCCTCACAGGGCCCCAAGAGACAAATTCCGTTGATCAGTTAGTCATATATATATAGAAATATGTTGCAATCTTTGTGGTCAGTGTATCAACACAACCATGTTTTGATTCTGTTTAGGATTACTGAATGACTCATATTAAATCATTTACCTGTTGACGGGTTTCGTCATACCGGTAACGGAAACCATCAACTACCGGTATCTCAAATAATTAGCACAGTCGTAAATTACCTGTAAATAGAATGTAGTTTCACTTCAAATCGGAAATGCCCATTACATCATTTTCAGTATCTTTATCTAAAAAAACATATGATAATAACATTATTGGGAAATTCTTCAGAGTTAAATATAGCAATTTTACTGATAATTCAATGTTCTTAGTTAATGCTTTGTTATTCTCAGAATTTTAAAAGGCCAAGGAAAAGTTTGAATAAGTTCTTAAATGACCCCGATAAGGTCACAAAGGGAAACTCCAAGGAAGTGAGAAATAAATGGAATCCTTATCACCTTTGCTAACCTTGGGGCTTTGGCAGCATTTGTGGACCACAACGGGTTGTGGAATTAATACTACCTGGTTGTATGTTTTTGATGAGAAGTAATACTCCCTCCAGGGATGATCTTTTGTCACCTAGGTGATAAAATATCTGAACTGATACAGTTATAGAAATTGAATAGAAATTAAACTCTATTCAGTAGAAAACTGACATCTCCTAGGTGACAAAAAATAATACTGATATTAGAGCTGAAGGAATGACTTCACTTGTATACCAGTATAAATTCCAGGTGAGAAAGTGTCACTTGGCCAGGTAAACAGCTATGTGTAAAGTCAGCTATTTCATGTCAATGTTTAACAGATAGTTTTCACCTGACAAAAGATCTATAAATACCTGTTGATTTTTAAGTGACTTATTTCAATACCTTTATCAAAAGAGTAGATTACCTACACCTTTATGTTTCGTATGAAATGGATTTCCAGCCTGCATTTTCTGCATTTAGATCTAAGAGGAAAAAAGGTGTGTGATGTGGTTTTTGATAGGAAAACATTTTAAAACTGCACTGATAATGATTTATGAGTGGTTGAATATTTAACAATGTATATTTTTAGTGCTTTCTATGGAGATATAATTCCACAATTCTATAAGCATTGATAGACGATTCTTCATTGATCTGTGGAAGAACATTTGACACAACAAAACTTATTTTGAATTAGGTAACATGTTTTACAGAAATCATAGTCATAAAACCACTATGTTCACTGATATACAGGTTTAGTAAATTCCTATCTGAAATTTTAAAATCAAATACAATGTACACAGGACTATTATCCCGTCACGTTAACTACTGAACATAATAATCCAGTTCACCTCTATAAATAAATAGAAATTTTGCTAAAAAAAATCATGACATTTATTATGTATTTTAGGAAGCAATGAATGCAGGCAGATACAGGTAATCAATATTTCTGGTTCATTAATCACTTCAGAATCATGTATGTTATAGAACGCCACATTTAAAATTCTGGCATGAGTCCATAATTCATTTTTTTTTTCCATTTTAAATATTGCAAACTGATTTAAAAATATATGAATATGATACTTCAAACATCTGCATGAGATCAATACATCTGCTGTCAATGTATTTCTGCTTGTTACAGAAGGATATCAACATATTCATTTAATTTCTAAATTGATTAGAATTGAAAATTATGCTGTAGTGGATTCTGAATTTAAATCCTTGTTATCTGATAGGTATGAAAATTTACAGCATTCTATTCATAAAGTTACTCTTTCAAATCTAACTTTTTAAAATCTCATTAATTTCCTACACTTGTGTATAAATTACTGACTGTTAGGCTCATTAAACAAAACAAAAAATACACAGTACTGAGATAAAAACTTTGATAAAAGTATTCTGCATAATTTTCAATAAACGGATGGTTTCTTTTAAATAAATTTGCTTTCTGAAGTGCTTGTGTAAAATTCATAAATGCACAAATGAATATTTATCAAATCATTTCTAAAGAAAATTAGTATTTCTCTCTCTTTATAAAAGAACATTTTATCTAAAAATATGAACATGTTCATGTGCTACTTAATTCTAACTGAAGGTTTAGCTTACATGATGTTTCTATCAGAACCTTATTCCTGAGTCAAACATATAACAGACTTTTTTTATTTTCTTGAGGAATCAATCTCTCATTCTGATATTACTAAAAATTCCCAAAGTCTGTCACCTAGTTGATAGAATGTCCAGTTAAGGATGGTCAATATCAGCTCTAGACCATAAAGCTATCCAACAGGTGACAAAACTACAGGTAACATGTTTGATGTTAATCTGGAATACCTGGACATTTGTGAATTCACCACAGACATAATGAGACATACCTGTCTGTCTGTGGTCAGTTATGTATTCCGGTCAATGGCATTAGTCAGTCTGGACAAAGTCATATATAATGACAATTAGGTCTGGTCAGTTGGCCTGAATTATGACCAGTATTAGAGCACTATTAGATCGGTGATAACGAGGTGGTCATTTGTGTCCTAAGTGTGTCCCTACAATAGTGATCATCACCAGACCTGTCTAGTGGACACTGGTCACTCTCACCTCAATCTAACACAATGTCTGTCTGGCTTTTACTGACCACCAGCTGTCTGGGATTAAATCCTAAACTGACTGGTCAGTTCTTAATTCTAGAGTTCCATAAATTTCCTGCATGGTCATTCGTAGTCAAATGAGACACCCTATCTAAATATACAATAATTGTGTTTCTACATAATGATTTT